GAGATGGAGTCTTGCTCTGTCACCCAGGCTGGAGTGCAGTGGCATGATCTCGGCTCACTACAACCTCCGCCTCCTGGGTTCAAGCCATTTTCCCTGGTTCAGCCGCCCCAGTAGCTGGGATTACAGGTGCACACCACCATGCCCAGCTAATTTTTGTATCTTTAGTAGAGACAGGGTTTCACCATGTTGGCCAGGCTGGTCTCAAACTCCTGACTCGTGATTGCGCCCACCTCGGCTCCCAAAGTGCTGGGATTACAGGCGTGAGTCACCGCGCCCAGCAAGATATAGTGATATTTTCTATCACAATGAAATCTATTCATTCACTACTCAAACAAAAACACATTGAGCACTTCTTGTGTTCTTGGACTCTATAATAAATAATACAAAATCCTTGCCTCAGAGTGCTTCCTGTCTAAACCTAAGACAGACAGTTACACTACAGTGTCAGAAGACAGGAAGTGTCTTGACAGAGACATCTACCCAGACTTGGAGGGAGGCAAAGAAAGGCTTCCCAGAGAAACTGCCATTTAAAATTAAGTCCTTATGGATGAGTAGCAGTTAGCACAGTGAAAGAGAAAGAAATTTTGGAGTAAAGGTCTAGAAGTGAGAGGAATACAGCAGTTTTTTCTCTGTGGAAGAACTGTACATAATTTGGTACGACATAGGTTAAGCCAAAGTAGAAAGTGTTAAGGCATGGCTGGGTGTGGTGGTTCACGCCTGCAATCCCAGCACTTTGGGAGGCCGAAGCGGGGCGGATCATGAATCAGGCGTTCAAGACCAGCCTGGCCAACATCGTGAAACCCTGTCTCTATTAAAATACACAAAAATTAGACAGGCATGGCGGTACACACCTGTGATTCCCAGCTCCTGGGAGGGGGAGGCTGAGAGCAGTAGAATCACTTGAAACAGGAGGCAGGTAGGTTCCATGCATTACAGATAAGAAAACTAGGACACAGAGAGATAAACAACTAACCCAGGGGCATAGAGCTAATAAGTAATAGAGTTGAAAGTTTAGTCTAGTTCTGGAACCAACTCACAAGGGACCCTTTATGCCCCGCAATGCCAGTCTGGGCTTTATCCTGAAGACAGTGTTTTTGTTTGTTTGTTTTTTGAGACAAGGTCTTGCTCTGTCACCCAGGCTGGAGTGCAGTGGTATGATCATAACTTACTGCAGCCTCAACCACCCTGACTCAAGCAATCTTCCCATCTTAGCTCCCCTTGCACCCACAGTAGCTGGGACTACAGGCACGCATCACCACGCTAAGTTAATTTTTGTATTTTTTGTACAGATGGGGTTTGCCATGTTGCCCAGGCTGGTCTCAAACTCCTGGGCTCAAGTGATGCTCCTGCCTCAGCTTCCAAAGTGCTGCAATTACAGGTGTGAGCCACCATGCCCAGACAACAATGTTTTTTAAAATGAGACTGGAATAAAACAACAATTAGATACCACTATTTATTAAAACGGCAAAAATCCAAAACACTGACATCAAATGCTGACAAGGATATGGAGCATTAGGAAGTCTGGCAATTTCTTACAAAACTAAACATGTACAGGCTGGGCATGGTGGCACACATCTGTAATCTCACCACTTTGGGAAGCCGAGGTGGATGGATCATTTGAGGTCAGGTATTCGAGACCAGCCTGGTCAACATGGTGAAACCCTGTCTCTACTAAAAATACAAAAATTAGCTGGTCATGGTGGCCAGCACCTGTAATCTCAGCTATTCAGGAGGCTGAGGCAGGAAAACCCAGGAGGCAGAGGTTGCAGTGCGCCGAGATTGTGCCACTGCACTCCAGCCTGGGCAACAGAGCAAGACTCGGTTTCAATAAATAAATAAATGAAGCAACAATAAAGTACACACAATACACGTACAAATTAGCAATAGCACTCCTTGGCATTTACCCAAAGGAGCTGAAAAATTACATCCATATAAAAACCTACAAATGGACGTTTTTTGTTGTTGTTTTGTTTTGTTGAGATGGAGTCTCACTCTGTTGCCCAGGCTGGAGTGCAGTGGTGTGATCATAGCTGACTGCAGCTTCAACTTCCCGGGCTCAAGCAATCCTCCCACCTCAGCCTCCTAAGTAACTGAGATCACAGGTGCTCATAATCATGCCTGGCTAATTTTTACGGTTTTTTATAGAGATGGATCTCACTATGTTGCCCAGGCTGATCTCGAACTCCTGGGCTCAAGCAATCCTCCTGCCTCAGCCTCTCAAAGTGCTGAGATTACAGGCATAAGCCATTATGATAGAACCACACAGATGTTTATATTAGCTTTATTCATAACTGTCAAAACTTGGAGGCAATCAAGATGTTCTTCAGGAGGTAAATGGATAAACCATGGCACATCCAAACAATGGAATATTATTCAGTGCTAAACAGAAATGAGCTATCAAGCTATGAGAAAACATGGAGGAACCTTAAATAGATATCATATTAAGTGAAAGAAGCCAATCTTAAAAGACTACAAACTATGATTCCAAGTAAATGACACTCTGTAAAGGTAAAATTTTTAGAGACAGTAAAAAGATAAGTGGTTGCCAGGAGCTGGTGGGAGAGAAGGATGAATATGTGTAACACAGAGGATTTTTAGGGCAGTGAAACTATTCTATATGATCCTGTAATACTGGATACATGTCATTACACATTTGTCAAAATCCATAGATGCAAAATACCAAGAGTGAACCCTAAAGTAAATTATGGTCTCTGGGTGATAATGATGTGTTAATGTATGTTCATCGATCATAACAAAGGTATCACTCTGGATGTACCCTTGCTGATAGTGGGAGAGGCTATATATGGAGGGATGGGGGAAACACACGGGAAATCTCTGTACCTTGTACTCAATTTTGCTGTAAACCTAAAATTTCTCTTTTAAAATAGTCTAGTTTTAAAGAGAAAGAGACTGGGAATGATGAGACTTGCATTTTAGATCATCCTAGACACAATGTGGAGAAATGATGAAAGGAGTATGGCAGGAGGCAGTGAGACCAACTAGCATGATTCTGAAACAGGCCAAGTGAGGGCTAAGACAGAAGCAAAAAAGATAGAAAGAGATAGACCTAAGAAATACAAGGGAAGTAAAATCTACTGAACTTGATGACTGATTAGGTAAGATGTAGTGCTTTGCTGCTGAGTGGTCATGCTAAAGCGAAATGACTTTGACTATTGTTTTGACTGCAAACCACAATAAAATACATTTTACAACCCAGTACACACATATATACATACCTAAGTGAAGCAAGACTTTCATGAAACAACGAGTAAGAGAGGCACAAGTCTCTCGTATTGACCCAAATTTACCTTTACAATTTTTAGTTTTTCCTTCCATCCACTCTCCTACGAGACTTATAGTACAAAATGATTCTCTAGTTGAATGGGTATTTCTTCCTAATTCAGCCTCTAAAACTCTTTCAATATATTTTGATCAAATAGCCACTTTGCTTGGGATAAGTCCAAAATGAGTCTCTAGTTGAATGGGTATTTCTTCCTAATTCAGCCTCTAAAACTCTTTCAATATATTTTGATCAAATAGCCACTTTGATTGGGTTAGGACGTCAACGTATCACTAAAAAGAAGAAAATGACCATGCTAACTCCTTTACAACAGACAATCCAGTCAGCCACCCTGAACAACTTCTCTCCAGCGATCCAGGTCCGGCTCAACCTCTGCCTCCTCCTGATACTGATCCTTCTACCCTCTGTCACCCCACAGACTGTTAAAAACTATAAATATTGGGCCTATGTTCCTTTTCCTCCTCTTATTCGAGCCATGACATGGATGGACGCCCCTATCGAGGTCTATGTTAGTGATAGTATTTGGACGCCTGGTTCTGTAGATGATCGTTGTCCCGCCCAACCTTCAGAAGAAGGAACCCCTTTCAATATCACTTTAGGTTTTAGGTATCCACCTTTGTGCCTGGGACCCACTAATGGATGTCTCTTATTAGATATTCAAACTTGGGCAGTCACACTACCATCTGGTCACTCTGTCCCTCCCTT